ATTTCCGGCCGGAATTAACTTTTTAATTTTTTTATTACAAAAATAGAAATTCTTAAAAATAAGCCCGAATTATTGTAAAATTGGCCCAGGAACAATTTTAATTTAATGGGCGGCTATGATTTCATTGGTAAAATTATGAGTAATTCCGGCCTAATCTTTTTATCGTCGCTCTTAGCCAATAAAAATCGAGGATCTGCCGGTCCAAATTTGTTGCGGCAGCTATTATGGTTAATTATTTTGATAGGCGGTTTGATTTTTTCTAATTTGAGCGAAAATATCTCAACAACCACATGGCTAAATTCGGTAAAAACTTTTTTATTTGAATTCTATGAATCCTTAGAATTCAAATCGAAAAGGCTTTATCAGATTCAAGTAGGTAGTTGTCGAGATAACTTCGCTCAAAGTTTTTAAATTTTTTATTTTTTTACCGGGATCTGCATGTCGATCAGTATCAAAAAAGTAAGTGCAGGAGTATCAAAAACGTAAGTTTTGCTTGTGTGATCGTAAGCAGGATTTATAAAAGAAGACTTTAAAACTTTATCGCAGCAAAATGTATTCATATTCCATAGTCTCTTAACGTTTTCAATCTCATCTTTTTTAATTGAATTAGTTTTAAACCGCTTAATCTTTTTTCCGTTTAAATTATCGGGCTTAATCATATAAATAAACATTGATTAATTTGTTATATCGTGTCTTCAAATTATAGACTGAATAACGAATAAAATTTCCAGAACAGCTAGTTTATAAAATTTTGAAATAAATATCAGATATTCATATTTTTATTTTTGGTTTTTTTTTTGAAATATTTTATAAGCTTCATCGCATCTCGCTTTCGTTTAGCGGCTTTTTACTATCTTTTATCATTCTTTCAAAATTTTTGATTAAGTTGAAATTAGGCTTCAACTTTTGCCAACGTGAAGCCTCTAAGTTTTGCCTAACAATTATATGTTAAAACAGCCTGGCTTTATTAGTAAATTTCACAATGAACATTTTTAATCAGGAACAAAAAGTGGTCTCCTGATTAAAATTTGTGGCTTTCCTTTTTTATTTTTTCTGACCAATTTTTGTGGGTGCACCACAAATATATCAAGAAACCCATGATTTAACGGATATACTGAAATATTGCTGCTCTATTTGGAATTTTGTAAAAAACCATTTACCATTCTACCTTTTATGATAGCTATTTTTTTAATGAAAATTACTAAAATTACTTCAATATTGACAACTATGTTTGGGTATTAATAGATCTACCGGAAATACCTAATGTTAACTTTATAATTCAATCATTATTACACAACCCAATTTTATATAAATTATTGATCGCGTAGTAACATAACTGCATATTGTTTGTAATAACAATTGTTCATGTGTGTATTACAGAAACTTGAATTTGTTTCTTTATTATAAATGAATAGTTGTTATTGAGAAGGGTAAATTAAGTTATTTTTTAATGAAATAGAGTTTTTTTACTCGTGTGTGAGAAATCCTAAAAATGATAAGATTGATAAAGATAGACACAATATGGTGTTACAAGCCGTGTGATTACATACAGTATTTAAGAAAGTTGAGGTGTGGATACAATTTGTTTTATACGTAAATACCAATTAGTGACTGCAATTGAAGTGCATCAAGATGTTAAAAAGAGGAAAACTGATTTGCCATATTAAATATCTTTTGGCAATTATCTTTGCGTTCTTCGGCTCAGTTAATGCACTTACGGAAAATATTGGTGCATCTAATCCAATTATTGAAGCAACTTATGATCTAATGATTCTCGTTATTGTTCCAGTGGTCTTAACCATTGATATTGATAGCGAAAAATTTATTAATGCTAGTGAAAGAAGAGAGTTAAGGCACATACTTAAATATTTAAAATTTGTTCCCGCTATAGTATTGTTTCCTTTACAAATTTGGTTCTGTATGCAATCTTACTTTTTTTTTAATGATGATTTTTTTATTATGTACTTTATTGCAAAGAATATAGTTTTAGTTTGCACTACATTTAGTACTACTTGTATTTCATGTTGTTTACTTGGTTTATTTTATTTAAATGCTCATTTTAATACTTCTAATGATTCTAAAAAAACTCACAAAACGGAAAGAGCATTAGTTTTTCCTTCAATTATTGTGAGTTTATCAATCTTTATTGTAGATTTAGTCTTTCTTATTTTAGCGGCAAATCGAAATAATGGTCAGTATGTTGACATGTCAACATATTTATTTGTGTTAGTACCTATTAGCGTATCTTTTGTCGCTGGGATGTTACTATATATACATATTTTTAGGCATCCTGGGTCTCCTGATGAACAGGAAAGAATATGGATTAATAATGGTCTAGATTTCAAAGGCCTTAAAGATTGGGTTGGTGATGCAATAAAAAGGGAACAGCTCGAAAGAGCAACGTCGATAGTGAGCTTTTGTTCGGAATTGATATTTTGCGCAATTGTTGCACCCAGCGTTTTATGGATTAAGACCTATCTTTTCTTATCATTTCTATCATATTCAATGAATGATCTTTATTTGAAGTTGAAACATAAACAAGAAGATTGCGAAAAGTCAAAACATAAGCAAAAAAATGGCACTGCTACATCTGACGTACAAGAAACTCCGTAAACGACAACCGTGCAGAAATTGACTACTTAGATTCGATCAGTAACGTTATTCGTGCCGCCAATAATTTACCAGAACAATTTATATGTGAAAATAAGTATAAACCATAATTTTTTGAAATTATACTAATTTTAATTAATATTATTATTCCTTATGCCAGTGGTTAAAACCCATTAAAATTTAGGGTTAGAGTGCAGCTTTATGATATAAAGGTTTTAACATAGTGTAGATTGGATATAAGGTCCCGGTCTAGTTCTCGCGAGGTTTTCAGGGTCTGAACATTTTTACTTAAAACCTGATTATATTTACTTAGTACATTTTCGAGATATAGCATACCGTTTATTCTCCATCACTGTTATGCTGAATTTTGTATAAATAACTTTTAATTTTCTTATTTTAAATACAATGATATACTTTATATCAAATTGATAAATCTAAAATTTACAGAAGTTGCTGTTCTGATAGAATTAATCAACATACTGTTCCTGATAGAATTCTAAAAAAGAAACTCTAAAATATTACACTATTATAGCTAAGGCTGTTCAAAGTAAATTAGTTGCTTAATGTCAATATTTTGGCTCAGTCGTAGGAGGAAAATTTATACAAACATGTTTATCTATTATGCCGCAGGGTATTTGATTACAATAAATCTCATTGGCCAACTTTAACCATATAATTATTGGAGATTTACTGTGTTGCGATTTGCTCGTTTAACTATTCAATTTTAAACGGCCTGAATATACCGTACAAAAAGAAACTGGCATTGGATTTAGTTTTAGGTCTCTAAAAGGAATTGTACGCAAACATTTTTATTATTATTTTTTTTTATTACGTTAGGAGATCAGGAATTGTATTTGTAACCTCTTGAAGAATTTTTGTATATGTGACCATAAAGATGTTGCAATCTTTGCGATTTTTAAAATTTAATAAGGTTTATCTTTTAATGGTTGTTGCTTAATTCCCAAAAGCTAGTTAACCACCATTTCATTTCCCGACACCATACTGCCGACAGAATATTTTATTTATAGCATTTCTTGTTTATAGAATGTATCCAAATTATACATGTTTTCGACAGCTTCTTTCTCTGACATGCCATATTTTGACAAGACATCTCTCTGATATGACATATTTGACTTTTCTCGGCATTAAATTTTATTGAATGCCTTTCCCGACAACCCATTTTACTGACAGTTTTTGTTCATCTTAATTCAATCTGACAACATGTCAGTTATTTGTATGTCGAAAAAAGAATATCAGAAATATGTTATATCGGGAAAATATGTTTTCGGAAATATATCAAATTAGGCAATGTATTTTCGAAAAGATGCCTTGTCAAGAAAAAGGGGTGTCAAAGACATATCATATTAGAGAGATGCCCTGTCGAAAAATTTGCTGTAGATGAAATATACTGTCGGGGATGTGATGTCGAAAAAATGAGTTGACAAGGAACTAACTTTTGGGAAATTATGTCGTAGCCAAATCTCGATATAGTGAGAATTTAGTATGATGAAGAATTTATCGCGGTTATCAAGATAGTAGAAATTGGGTAAAAACTTTTTTTTGATGTATATTTGTATGCTGTGTATACTCGTATACCGGCAGTAGTGAAACAAATCGAAAGTTGAAAAATCGATTAGTTGAATTAATTTTTATAACCAACTTATTACGGCTTGCAAAATTATGTGAAATTTGAAAATCAAAAAAAAAAAAAAGAAATCGATTATTTCTGATTGCCGTTTTCTTACTTCTGATTATATATGTATATAAAGACTTATAAATATATGTATATAAATGATATATATATATATATATATTTAAAAAAAAAATTTCTAATGGCCAAAATTATTATCCCAGAACATGCTTTGGATGCACAAATGTCTTTTTTGTACAACTTCTAAAATTTATTGTAATAAAAAAATTTTTATATATTCCAATAAAAAAAATTTTTATACTAAAGTTCCTTATGCTTTACTTTGAAATTTCATGATTCTATCAGTAATAAACAAATTTTTTAGAATCATGTAATAATATAAGATTGAATTTGGTGCAACTTTTAAATTTTCTTCTTGTTTATCATGCAATAGTAAATTTTTATTGAGCTAGAAAAGAAACAAATTTAATATTACACAATCAAGTTCTTTATAACATGATGAATATGAAATTATATTTCTACAAAAGATGCTAAATCAAACTATGTTACAAAATTATGAATTTACGACTTTTATTTCTGCAAGAAATCGTCAGAAATCATCGTTTTCTTTTTTTTGATCTGCAAACCGTACGATCGCGATTGCCTAGAGAAATAGATTATCATAAACGTGACTTATACGACGATCGTGATTCGTGCAACAATCTCTATCGACGACGAAACGTGATCGTCGACCGCAACAAAATCGGGCCCGATTTTGATTTGCTAACGGCCGAGGATCTTCAAAATTTTGGCCAACATTAACAAAATTGGTTACTAATTTGCGGCCGGAATTAACTTTTTAATTTTTTCATTACAAAAATAGAAATTCTTGGCCCAGGAACAATTTTCACACAATTGGCGGTTATGATTTCATTAGTAAAATTATGAGTGATTCCGGCCTAATTTTTGATCGTCACTCTCAGTCAATCAAAATCGAGAATCTGCCTATAGTTGTTAGACAAAACCATTTTTGCTTGATGACGAAAGTCGAAATCTGAGCCCTAAATGACAAAACCTCTGTCGAAAGTCGAAACCTTAAATTCTTCTGACAAAAGTCGAAACCCTCAAATCCTTCTGACGAAAGTCGAAACCCAAATTTAACTTAACAAAACCCTAGTACTCCTGCTAAAAAAAAAAAAAAAAAAAAAAGTAAAAATTACCGAAACTCTTGACAAATTCTGGTGCTCCCGCTAAAAAAATTAATGAAGCTATTAACACCTCTCAAATATTTAGATAAATATAAATATAGATAATTAAATTATATAAATATTCTGGTATTTTTCTTTTTTTTTATTTATAACTTTTTTTTTTTTATTCAATATTAAAATATTTTAAATTTATAAATTTTAATCTGTACGTATAATCTAAAATATAAAGCAGTAAGAATGTCTTCGCTGCTTTGTAAATTTTTAGAAATTGATAGCCAATAGCATATTATAATTCATGTTTCTTATTAACTTTCCGATAGCCACTTTTCATTGAGATCTGATCAATTCACTGACAGTCATCTCATAGACACCACTTCATCACAAACAAGCTCATTTTGCTGACAGCCTATTTTACTGAAGCTTATTTCAAAAAGTCCTGTTAGTAAATGAGCTTTAGTAGATAGACTGTCAGTAAAATGAATTTGTCGATGAATAATTGTCATGAAATATTGTGTCTATGAAGTGATTGTTAGTGAAATAATACAGATCTCTTTTTATTAAGTTTTTTATTTAGATCAATTTAACTGGCAAGTATAACAATAATTATATTAAAGATCTGAAAACAATGTATGCACCTCTTATTAATTTGTTATCTGCCTAATTTGTCTTTTACTCAAGTCAATTTAGCCAATATACTTTTTACTATTAATTTCTTATTTGTGTTAATTTACTTAATTGATAAATCCCTTTTTATTAAGTTGCTTATTAAGCTTCTTATTAAAACTAATCTAAATATAAATTATATAGCCTTTTATAAACATAAAATGAAGAAAGTCAAGGCACCTTTACACTTGTTTATTATATAATTATTATAAATTTATATTTTCATACTTTATTATTATCTTCAATAACATTTATTTGCTTCATCATCTTCTATTAGTTTTGTCACCTTTGTAGTTTATCAGTTTCTTTACCTTTTGTCACCTTTCATGAGTTTTAACACCTTTCGCCAGTTTCGATATTTTGTTATTTGAGATTTTAATTGATGAAAGTCGAAACTAGGTTTCGACTTTTGTCAATGCGAAACCTCAAGGTTTTGTCTAACAACTATAAATCTGCTGGTTCAATTTTGTTGCAGCTAGGTGCTACACAAAAAACGTGCAATTTTGATTGGCTAAAAGCAATAGTCAAAAAATTAACTCGAAATTACTCATAATTTTACTAATAAAATTGTAGCCATTTATTAAGTAAAAATTGTTCAGAGCTTATTTTTTAAAAAAATTAAAGGTTAATTCTTGCTGAAAATTAGCAAACAACTATGTAATGCGGGCAAAGTCTATTCGGCCAAATTTGATAAGTTATTAATTTTGGTATGATTAGTATGTGATCAGTATATAAGAAAATTATTGAGTTACTGTTATTACAGCACATTGTTCAATTAATATTATACTACATTTGCAATGTCAACTATTTCAACACTTTATTAAAATTATTTTTTCCAATATGTATAATACAAAAATTTTTACCAAAAACTGTTCTTGCCAATTAACTAAAAAAGTTTTGAACATAAGTTGGACTTTCTTAATAAAAATATAAATTTAAGGTTCATTTTGTGAATTTTTTATCATATAGTATAGTAAAAAAATATACTGTATTTATACAAAAATAAAAAATAAATTTGGAAATTTGCCTTTTTTAATATGTAACACTCCATATTACACGAGTAGGCACTAATAAAAAAAAAAGTTTAAATACAATCAGGGGTTGTAAAAAAATGCAACACACTTTGAAACCAAAGATCAAGATTTTATTAATATTTGTTGACAATGTCAATAATTTATAATAAAGTTCAAAGTATGTATAATGTCTATTTAAAGTGATAGTAATTAGTAATGTGCAATTTATATGATGTCTAAATTTTTTTAGCATATAGTACATACAGTACATATAGTACTTATATAATAAAATTGCTTTAGTAGTTACATTATAAATTTTTTCAATATTAGTCTATATTACAATTAATATAATATTTAATCTATTTTAATAAATGTGGCAAATTAAAATGAAATCAGATTAAAATAAAATTTTTTTATTTTTTTAGGAAAATTTAAAATTTTTAGGGAGAAACTTTTTAGAGTTAGGGTTTAGAGTTAGTTTTATTAATA